CCAGAATATTTTGGTTCCTAGACCTATTTGTGATATTAAGTTTAAAGGGAAATCTTTTATTGGACTGATGGATTCAGGAGCTGATGCCACTATAATCAATAGCCAATCTTGGCTGTCTGCTTGGCCAACTGGACCTGCCTCCACACCTCGGATAGGCTTAGGATCTCCTCAATCTGTCTCAGTGTACTGCCTCTTTTGTACGTTGGCCCTGATGGACAGGAAGGTATTTTAATACCATTTATTGCACCCATTCCAGTCAACCTATGGTGCATAGACCTTGTAAAAGAATGGGACACTCTCTTACTTACTTCAGAGCCTCAGAGTTGTGTGTTACAAAATAGCAGGATGATGGCTAAGATAGAGTATAAAGAAAGCAAAGGCTTCAAATAACGGAACTAAACAAAAAAAGGGGATACAGATGAATGTCCATTTTTATCTGTGTATTCAAAAATTTTAGGATATATAGTAACATTCTCTTAATGAATAGAGGGATTTGTTCTAGTAGTGTTTGTAAATAGGATATCATGTCCGCATCTTGTACAGCAATTAACCACTAGGAAGAATGTATGCAATGTGTTAATTATTGAAACTGTCCTACCAATTTGGTTTGAAACTGTCTCACTGCTATTTGTTTCTCAATACAATTATGGGAAAAAAATAAATAAAAATAATAATAATTAAATGTTGTAGGCCATTAACCGGTATCCATTCTATTCCCTTGCTGAGTCAAGTTTATGGCCCTTCTCACCTTGCCCATTCCCTGTGAATACGTGCTATGCCCTAGGGGTTGTACCCTCCCCATTGCCTAGATACCTGCTGACCCCAAGAGCCAAGACTTCCTCATTCCATCACCCCCTATATATACCCAGAACCTCCCCTAAATAAACGAGGCTTGATCAGAATCTTTGTCTTGCCCCCACTTCTCGCATCTCCTGTCCTTTGTCCCCTCTTCAATTCCCCGCTCCTCCCCCAGGTGACCTTCGTTGACTGACCCGCTGGTTCGGGACAATTAAAAAATAAATAAATAAAATAAATTCATTTCAAATCAGTGAACCTACTGTGAACCAGGCAGTTTCTAAAAATGATCTCACGATCCCTTGTACTTAAAGACTTCCTGTTTTTCTTGATGTGAATTTTTAAAATATTTATATTTGTATAGATGTTTAAATCCATACATTGCTTCCAAATAAATTACTTTGTAATACATTTTAAAAAAGAAAGCAAGCAAAGGCTTAGTTAACAACTTGCAGTGCTGTACTCTTACAATTCTGCTTTTAATTGAACAAAATGGGTATGAAATTGAATTTGTAATGAAGCCCATTGATACTCTGCAGGAAAAGTGAAAGATTTCATCAACATTGGTAAGAGAACAACCGCAATCAAGTCACCTCAAACCTACTTTATTGCAACTGTTTTTAGAACTACTGCATTCTTTCTTGATCTTCTTAGATCTCATTCTAATCACCTGGGCTGCTTGTCATCCATTAATTATAATACAGATGCTACTGGAAATCTGATTTTCATTTCTGATAAAGCGAGACAACTCCATGAGTTTGTTTCTCAAAATCCTAAACCTTCGCAAAAGGCATGTAAAATGATCAGAGCACAAGCTGGACAAATCATCATTTCATGTTCTGCTTGTCAGCTCATTCCTAGGCCTATTCCTAAACAAAGCTACAATCCCAAAGCTCTTGGAACCCATTGGTCATGGCAAATGATTATGACTCATATATCCTCTTTTAACATACTTAAATATATTCAAGGTTTTATAGATACATGCTCACATGTGCCCCGTGTTATTTGTCATACAGGCAAACAAAAGCAGTGTGTCCTACAATGCTGCATATCAGCCTTTCCTAACTTAATGTTACAAACATTAAAGCTTGATATTGGTTCTGCTTACATTAGTAAAAATTTTAAGAGTATTTTTAATAACTGGAAGATAAAATGTTACAGGGATGCCGTATGATCCCCAAGGTCAAATAATCGTTGAACAAATATGTCTTAAACTAAAAAATCAAGTAGTCAAAACAAAAAAAGGGGTGAACACAGAATCAAAACTTTGCTACATGTATTTTAACTTTTCTGAATATGGCTTGGTGTGACCTCCAAACAGGTGTTTGGAATGGTCTGGCATCACTTTTAAATTGGGGCCAAGCTTATGCTTATATTTCCACAGAAAATCAAGAGATATGATCATCAGAGAGGTTCCATGGCCAGAATCCAACCCATCTACACAACACATCAAGCTCTCTCCTGAGACCTCGAGCAACGAACCTGAAAGCACATCTTCCACCTTCCTGGGAAGGCCTGCAGCAGACCATTCGTGAGGCTTGCCACCTAGCCAACTGCCAGGGTTTGGTTCAATCACCTGATAATATTCTCTTTACAATGCCTAATCTTATAGCAGCTTCTCTGGGTACTCCTGTGGCTCAAGGAGAAGTACATTGGGCCTACATACCTAATGCATCCCGGCTTAGACCTCTTATATGGATGGACAGGCCCCCAGAGGTTTTCCACTCTACAAAGAGTAATACCCTATGTATATTATTCTGCCTGGCCTACAAATTTTAATGCACTTACAAGAATAGACTAAACTTAATATTACATCTCATTTATTATATCTTCTCTTTTGTGTAGCCTATCTACAACAAGATGCTAGCCTTTGCATGTTGGCTGCAGATCAGACTTGGGAAGAACAACTGTTTAAAGGACAATTTGCCTTATTAACCCTAAATCCTATTCCGTTGGATGGTAACCTTGTAAAAGATTTGAAACCTACTGTTCCTGTCTGTATTCCAGAAGCTTATGCCCCTCACTGTGAGGAAGGTGATTTGGGCACATGGCAGACTTGCAGGGATTCATACCATGGTCGGGCTGTATGCAAATTTAATTATTCCTTAATAGACCAGTTCCCTGCAGGATTCCTTCTAGGGGCAAATCAAGATTGGCACAAGACTTCTTTTACAGACTCCTCTAACTATATCATGATCTCAGAAGCTTTCTCCAATGTTGCATGGTCAGGTAGAAGCCTCAATCCTCCTACCACTGGACTCATTATCAATGACAAAACTGGGCCCATACAACATACTTTATGGAATCTAGCCCTATCTTTTCATGGTAGACTCCTGCAGACTGGGCATCTGCAACTGATAGTTGGAGGAAAAGTCAAAGCAGTATTACAAAGACATAGACACATAAAGGTAAACATGTGCTTATGGTCCTCAAGTACTACTAGAAAGAGGGCAACCAAATATGTTCTCATGTACTAATGAATCGTGTATCATGCCTGAACACCCTTCCAATGACCCCACAGTGATCATGGTCAGGATGGTTAGATTGGCTTCCAGTCAGTCTAACAGCACCATGGTGTCATTCACTTAGTTCTTGATAGAGACATTGATTCAATTGGACCAAGAAGATGCTTGGATTAATTATAGCCGGGATAATTCCTTGGTGCTTTTGATGGCATAGAGTTGTTAACTCTATGATATTAGCTCATTCCATATTAACTGCTCCCTTTGTAAACAACTGGACAAGAATTTCTGGTGACAGCAGGAAATTCAGAAAAATATTAATATAAAGTTAATAACCCACATGAGCATTCTAGAAACCTCCATCCTTCAGATGGAAGATCAAAGTGAAGTTTCCAATTACAACAAGGTTTAAAATGTCACTATAATATGACTTGCTTTTGTATCACTCCATTACCATATAACAGAAGTCTTCTCCTTGGGGACTAATCTAGAAACATATACAAGGAGCTATCCATCAAAATATTATTTTGGATATAGATGCTCTTCAGAAAAAAGTATTGTTAATGGCACAGCAGACAGCAACTTTTGATGCCCAGATTAATGACTGGGGTAAGTTTGCTGATGCTATAGAACAGTTGAATCCATTTGCATATCTCAAGGCCCACTTTTGGTTTTATACTGGAATTGGTATACTCATTCTTTTGTTTATAATCCTTCTCATTAAAGTGTGTCACAGAGGATTTTCAGCCCAACCACAGCTACAGGCTATACGGCCAGAATGACACTGCTCCAGCTTCTTCAAAACAAAGAAAGGGGAACTGTGGAGGACCACCTGAGCAGCTCTCCTCGAAAGAAGAGTGACTATCTCCATTTTGACTGAGCCTGACCCTATTTCCTTGTATTGTTCTGTACAGAGCTGGCTAGGACTTCTGATTATCCTTCAATTGGCCTTACGCAACGTATACTGGTCTAGCTGAGGTGCTGGTGACAGTCTTTGAAGGTGGCATGCATGTTTCCCTGGTAACCTACACCGGCTGCTCTTTAATGTGAGCCGGGTCAAGACAGGACGGAAGAGTTAATGCTCCGCGGGGCCAGCTGGGATGAGCCTCGAGACAGAGGCTATGACTTCCTGGGGCTTGAAAGATTATGTCAAAGCTGAAGCACCAGGCCCTCCAAAACTATCTCTATAGCATAAAGCAGCTTACTTTCTCTGCATATCCTATGCATATAGCAGAAGTAAATGTAGGCCACCCACTTAGCTCAGCTCACAGTAGTTACCTACTTCCCACAATTCTCAGTCATTCTTCCTCAAGCCACTCCTCCACTGAATAAAAACGGGTGAGGCCCTGGGTCAGCCTCTTGGTTCCAGAAAGCCATCTTCATGGCTGGACTTAGAGCCCCTTGACTCCCCGATAATTATAAATATGTTTTAGTGTCTTTACTTTTGCCATGGGATGCACTGAAAGTGGTAGACTGGAATCAACTTGATGGGATTCCAATAACATAACTTTGAGATTACAAATATTGGCTTCTTGGACTGAGATGAGGACCTGGAAGTGTCTCCTACACACTTACACACACACCCTACACATGGAAGATACATGCATGCTTGTGACATATGATCCTGTACCAAACAATTAGAAGGTGCTTGGAATCAACAACAGAACTTTCAGGAAAACGCTGCCATGTTACTGTAACTGAACTTCTGCACAAATAGGAGCAGCTGGACGAAGCGTGCCCTACCTTAAAGAAGGAATGGATGGCAGCGGTGGCCTCGCTGCGTGCCCTCAGCACAGACCCCAGCACATTCGTCCTACACCGGAGGTGAGGATACTGTCTCAGGAACTCCAGAGGATGCCTCTCTTTGTATTTGATAGGGAATGCCTGCCAAGTGAAAAAAGACAAAGCTTGTATTATGAAACCAATTTCCAGAACATCTAAAGATCATGTAGGATTGCTTTAGAATAATACTAAGGTGCTTTCCTTCTTTCCTTTTCAATATAACAGATTATAATCCACATTACTATAAGAATTCTTTTAAGTAAAACTGTAAACGGGCTGAGAGAGATGTAGATTTGCAGTCAGCTCTGCTTATCAGCTAAAATTACTTAGTATCACTGACACTCATTTATCACATTTCTATACATCAGCTATCAAGCACTTCTTATAAATATAGATTAGCATAAAATCATATAAAACCCACTGTCTGGAGCTTACAATGCTGTACTATAGATATTAAAGAATATGTCTCTACCATCTATACACACAGCTGATGTTCAGTTTTAAAATCACCCAAAATGTCTTGAAATCCCTCACCAAAAAATTGATGTTTATTGTTATTTATCAACAAATTATTGGTATCAAAGAACAGGAGGGACGGTCAACAACTTCCATTTAGCAGCAAGCTAAAGACTTACTAAAGATTTTGAAGGAAACGGCTCCACCTTGAAATATTTCCATCTGTCCACCCTTGTGTTACAAGATTAGGCACACAGATAATACACTCTTTCAGACAAAACAAAGGTTCAATTAAAAAATAAACAGGAAAGCTAATGAGAGCTACATTGGCAGCTGGCTTTGTTAAATCCTGTATTGTCTCCGTAGGTCTTAGGCACACTGCAATTCTTAGGTCACGCAGAAATAAGTGCCATACTTAGCTAAAGGGAAAATGTGGCCCCACTGACAGAGATGGGGCTGCTAGGGGCCAGAATTCCCTCAGGACTGGGTAACTCAGGATACAAGTGAAGAGGAAGGGACAGTAAAAGCATCACTACCAACAGAAACTAAGGAAGAGCACCTGAAGAACAGTGAGGAACACTGAATCTTTAATAATCACAGACCTCTCTGCAAAAGCATGAACAAACATGGTTGGTTACTTTCTCTATTCTCCTGATTTCCAAAGTACTTCAGTCTATTTTCCAAAACCTGACAACCTGAGTCCTGATTTCACACATCAATTTGAATTTTTTAGAAAATTACTTGGGAGTGACAATTTTAAAGAACATTGCCCCATTTTCTTTACTTCCTTATGTTTAATTTTTCCTATTCTAAGAGAACTTAAGCTGAATTAAAATGATTCGATTTCCTACATTTTCTCATCTTTCACTCATCAAATATTTGAAGATAATTATAGCAAAAGACAGTTGTCAAAAGGCAGAAATGTAAGTTTCAGAGGACCCCCAGTCACCTCAGCCCTCAGGCACATCTCCTCACCACCTCCTTTTCTCCAGCCCTGTAAACTTAAGGAGCTGGAAGCCACACGCAGCTGCACCTGACCAGCGAATGCCATCAGGACCTAGACTTCTTGATTTTCACCTGCCATCCCAGCAAGCAGCCAAAGGTGGCCACTGCCCCTCTGGGACGACGCTCTAGACCACGGAGGCCATCGCTAGCCTTGTCTCAGGGTGGGAAGTAAATGGCCTCTTCTGGTCCGGCTCTGTCACCTGGCTCACTGGGCACCCTTGCAACCGTGTCACAGGATACATGGCTGGACACTTAGCTGTCACTTGTAAGATGAAGTCACTTATATGACTGTTTTATTACAATTCTATAGGCTGTAAGGACTACTTCAATTATCAACCGAACTATGTTCTAAACGACATCTTCCCAACAATCATACCACAGATTACTAGTGTTGCAAACTAAGTCCAAACAGCCTCCACAAAAGGATCAATAAACGTACCTTGGCATCACAATTCCCAATAACTTCAATGCTTTCTGCCTTCAGTTCCACATTTTGCTGTTTGGATGGGCTTTTTACCAGCTGCCCTAGGACTGCCACAGAACTTCCAAAAGCCAGTTCTCTACAGTAACAAAAAAACCCAAAACAAAACATCACTAAATAAAACCTTCATCTAAATACAGATCTTGCAATCAGAACATTAATTACTTAATGACAGTATTTACCTTTAATTACTCTATACCAAAATTATAAAAATTCTTTAAGTTTTAAAATGGAAACTAAAGAGTAAGAATTTGTATCTAGCTACTTGTAGTTAAGAGGTTATATAATTATCCTTATCAAAAAGCAGATTCACAAGATTTCAGATTATATACAAAGCCTAGAGAAATAAAAATCAGGTCTGCAGTTTTGTTGATGATATTGCATCATAGTCAGTTCCCTGGCTTTGACAGCATCCAGTGACAATGGGGAAAGCTGAGAGAAAAGCACACGGGATTCCCCCATGTTACCTTTGAAATGTCTTGTAGGTTTTGTTATTGTTCTTCAAAGACAGTTGGCAGATCATCTGAGCATACACAGACTACTAGATGGCTAACAGGTCTTTGTTCTAGATCAAGTTTATCCATAGATTAACTGTAGAGTACTATAGAAAGTGATGTAATTCATTCATTTAAAGAATTACCAACAGCCAGACATGGCGGAGCATGCCTGCAATCCCAGCACTCAGGACACTGAGGTAGAAGAATCGCTGCTGTGAGTCTGAGTCCAGCCTGGGCTAAGAACTGAGTTTAATGTCAGCCTGAACCACACAGCAAGAACCTGTTTCAGAAAGAATCATCTATAATAATCTGGGCATGGCGGGACACACCCATAATTCCAGCACTCAGGAGGCTGAGGGTTATTCTGAGTTCAAGGCCAGTTTTGGTTACATAGTGAATTCAAGACCAGTCCAAATTACATAAGGACACCCTGTCTCAAAAACAAAATCATCTACCAAGAACGTCACTAAATGTTCGTAACTCTGTTCTAGCATACTGTAACTGTTAAGTAACTTCTTTAGTAAATTATATTAAAATATCATAATAGAGTAACACAAACTGTAGTCAAGAAAATGTGTCAGATTCACCAGCTAGTTTTCCTTGTTCCACTTAATACATACTATTTCCTTTTAAAATCTATTTTTACACAATATATAAAAATTAGGGATTGTTGGCCAGGCATGGTCGTGCATGCCTGTAATCCCAGCACTTAGAGGCTGAGGCAGGAGGATCACTGTGAGTCCTGGGCCAGCCTGGGCTACAAAGTGAGCTCAAGGCCAGCTTGAAATGTAGAGCAAGAGACTGTCTCAAAAAGACACACACACACACACACACACACACACACACACACAAAAGACTGTCTACTATTGCATCATAAGAAAAAAACTCATAGACTTTCCCAAACCTGCAAGGATATTTTGTGATACTCTAACTTAAAATACCTACCACCCGACATATATGAATTTCCCCTGGGTGCTCTTGAGAATGCCCAGCGGCAGGCAGCCGTCGCCTCAAGCCTCTAAAACGCTGGTGCTGAACCTATGCATGTGTGCCACAGTAGGGTGCTGATCCCTGAAAGGGGTACAGGTTTGCCATCACTGCTCTAGAATTTAGGTACCATTACATATGCATGCAATTGCTATCCTGACAGATATTATCAGAAAAAATACACACTTTAACAAAAGTGAGCTAATTTCATGAGCTAATTTTCTGTTGTTGTTTTCAACTGACCAAATAATCTTAGACTTATGAACCTATTCAATGTGGGCAACATTAACCCTAACAATTCTTAGAGCAGTGAGGCACTCTTACTCTAACAATTTAGAATAATTTCTGCTCCTAAGATCTTATGCCCTAATTAAGTAGGTGCTCATTTAGCATGACGGATGAAACCGTAAAATTTTCTTCCATTTACTCAACAAACAGTAAGTGGTTACTCCGTCAACACCGTGCTGGACACCAAAAACACAAAATAGATGAGAGACCAAATTCTAACCTTAAGGAATGAAAAGGCCTGACTTAAAGGAGTGAAACACCACCACAGCTGACTGCCGTGCAATGCAACACTTTCTATGACAGAGGTGGGCACTGGATGCTACTGGAGCATTAAGGGCAACTGAGATAGCCAAGGGTAAGCACATTACGCGAGACAGGCAGAGACGAAGAGTTGGGAGCTGTTCGGAGGCAGCAGAGGCAGTACTGTGTGCATTGGCTAGAAAACAAGAAATGCCTTCAGGTAGTTGCAAGCAGCCAAGGCAGACCGGAGCCACATGCAGGCAGAAGGCCCTGGCCTGCACGGAAGGGCACGAAAGCCTGACGCTGAAAGCCTGCAATGCCATGTATTCGGACTTGTCTTCAGTTATTCTGCATAGATGTGTTTAGAAAGAGCACCCTGCGGGTGTACCAGTCAGGTTTCCCAATGCTGAGACACCACGCTGAAGGACCTGTGCCGTAAAGGTGGCAGGCTTAATTCTGCTCACAATTCCAGGAAATTCCATCCACAGCTGGCTGGCTCCAAGGCAGAGACACGGGGCAAAAAGTCATACTGCAGGGCCCAAGTGCTTAATGCACAGATGCTGGAGGGGGGGAGAACCTAAAGGGGTGCAGGACAAGATATAGTACCCCAGGTTACACCTTCCGTGACCCCTCCAAACACAGCTAGGGTGTGCTCCACTAGCACCCTGGGCAGCTTCCAAGCCAACCAAGGGGACATGATCAGCTCAATCCACCACATCCCACCCCTATCTGACACCCAAGCACATTTCCCTAAACCATTATGGACTGATCAGTTTTTTGAGACAAGATCTACATAGTACAGGCTGGCTTTGAACTCATAATGACCCTCCTGGCTCAACTTCTCAAGTGTTAAGATTACAGGCCTGTGCCACCAAACTCAGCCCTAAACCATATTTAATCCCCCAATAAATATGAAGTCATAATTCTGCCTAGTGTGATGCAATAATCTTGTGTATAACCTAACACACAATAATCCTTTCCCCAGTTTCAACAGTTCTAGCATTTTACAAAAGTTCAAATCTCTTCTGAGATTCAAAAAAAACTCCTTAACTGTGAACTTCTGTAAAAATAAAAAAGATTATCTAATCCAAGGTACAATAGCCAAGATAATACTCCTATTCCAAAAGAGAAGAGTAAGGGGACCGGAAAGAATTGGACCAACACAAGACCAAATCCCAGCAGGGAATATATTAAATTCTATAGCTCAATCTATAGCATATAGGGCACACGGTGGTAAAATGTGAGTACCAAAGGGCTTGGATGACCCATCCCTATGGCCTTGCTGGCTGGAACCCATAAAGCCTCTCTTCAGTTGGATCCACTCGGCTTGCAGCTTCCCTTCCCTGGCAGACATCCCCAGCATCTCTGATTTCCCAGGGTCTCACTTCCAGCTTCTCTCTCACAGCTTTATGCAATGCCCTCTCAGGGGTCCTTGCCTTGTTTCCCAGGGCCCCCTTCAAAATCAGGGAGGAAGTTGCCCTTCCCTAAAACTCTTACATTTTGCCTGTTAGTAAAACTAGCATCACATGGATGACACCAAGGTCTGCTGTCAACTGAACGGCAGCCAGGCCTCCTTGGACCCTGGGTGTAGCAGCTTCTGAGAATCTGAATGGTTAGGCACAGTGAAATGAATCCTGGGCAACCAACTGCCTATGTGGTCTTTCTTGAGCAGGTGTTGCAAAGATTCTCTTCTCAAATGAAAGACTGGTAGTTCTGCACATTTGAGCCAGCAATGGGTAAGGTCTTGCTGATTTCAGAGATGCCCTCAAGGAAAGACTGCTTCTTACCCCTACATACAGTACTTTCTTATTCCTGTACATAGTACTTGATTTTATTCATTTACTTATTATAGGGTCTCACTATGCAGCTTGGACTCATAGCGACCCTCCTGTCTCAGCCTCCCCAGTGCTGGGATTACAGGTGTGTGCCAACACACCCAGTTTCAGTGGCCTGCTTGGGGGGAGGAACAGCATGTGGTCCCAGGGATCGAACCTTGGTCCTTAATGATTGCCAGGCAGGCACTTAGACCACTGAGCTATCTCCCCAGCCCTGATGTGTTTTTTTCAATTTTATTTTTATTTACTTTTTTTTTGTATTTTAGGGAAGGGTCTACAGGGTGTTCAGGGTCTCACTACTCGATAGCACTCCTAGTGATCTGCCTGTTTACAGCCTCCCAAGTGCTGAGATTACAGGCACACGCCACCACGCCCAGTCTCAATCGCCATCTCAGTGCACCGGCAGGCCCGGGGACCAAACCCCTGGCCCCTGGGCCTGCTTGCAAGTGCTTTAATCTGCTGAGCTATTTGGTCGGCCTCTGATGTGTTTTTTTTTAATGGTACTATTATCTTCAGCACCCATAACTCCTTCAGCCACATCTATGCATGTGGTTCCTTTGGGGTCACAAGTCAAGTTTTCCCAATTTTTCTGCTCTGCTTTTGGCCCTCAATTCTCACTATAAATATGGCTAAAAGCAGCCAGCAATGTTCATGCCACAGCCTTAATTGTGGGCTGCTTCTGAATTTCCTCTGCCAGATCAATTAGTCCACCATCTTTAAATTCAGCTTCCTGTAGTTTCAGAACGCAGTAGAGTAGAGGAAAATTTTCTTCCAGGGTATAACACACAAAGAGCCTCTAGTCCAACTGCCAGAAGAACTCTTGTTCCCAACTCAAACCTCCTAGCTGCAGGTTTTGCTATCCACATTCCTAGTAGCAGTCTGGTCCTCTGAGCTCCAGGGAGAATTCCCTATGAGGCTCTGTCTATGGCATTCCAAGCCGTCTCCACAGGCATCTCCAAACCCTTGCAAACCCTTCCCACAGCCCAGCTCCAAAGTCACCCAAACAACATGATCTGGGACGGACCCAGTGATAATCCTTCTTCTCTGATACCAACCTCCTCTTCTGGCCAACTTTCTCATTGCTAAGGCACAACATCTAATGTGTGCAATTTAAAGAAGGAGTGCTTGGGCTGGGGAGACAGCCTGGTAGTCTAAGCTCCTACCCAGCAAGTGCAAGGGTCCAGGTTCAAGCCCTGGGACTGCATGCTGTGCCGGCCACTGCTAGACGCTGTGGCGCATGCTTGTAATTCCAAAGCTGGGGAGGCTGAGGCAGGAGGATCACTATGAGTCTGACCTAAGTAGCGAGACCCTGTATCAAATAAAGATTAAAAACAGTAACAATAATAAATAACCGGTCACATGTTTTCAGAACATCAGTCAATCTGAGGAGGGGAAAAGACAGTGCCTGTTGTAGTCAGGGTTTGCAAAAGAACAGATTTAATACAGACTCATAACTTACAGGGTTATTTTATAATATTTCCCCAAAGTCAAATGCAGAGACATGTAACAGATCTGTCCACATGTTAGAGACCCAAAGAATCCACCTGAGGGTCTGGATTCCACAGCAATGTCCTGCATGAGTCCAGCCAGAGGTCTCGAGCTCACAACATCTTATGCAAGTCTGTATCACAGAACTGCACTGGTAAGGCCCAAAAGTCAGTGGTGGAAGCTTGGTCTGTGCCAGTGGGGTGGAGGATCTAAGCCACCAAGCTGAGGGACCTGCACTGGAGTTAGGAAGTGACATACAAGGCAAGGACAGTGCTCCCCCAAAGAGAACAGTAGCCATCCTCATTAACAGCAAGGACCCAAGTTCCTCTGATGATGGGAACAGCTAAGTTCTTATCATGAAAACCATGTGACACGTCTCTCCAGCAACAGCATACACTTTTCCCCTCCAGTTCTGTTTTCATGCTGTTGGCAACAATCCTCAAGTGGTCTTCCACACCCAGAAACATGGTACATTCAGCTAGGTGTTCCAAGTTGACCATGTGTTAATCCACCTACCCAAGGTCATGCATTACGACTCACCCAGACACAGTAAGAAGTGTGTTCCACCAATTCCTTGGGTAACTCCAAGCCAACCAAGTTGACACAAGTAAGCTTAATATCACAAGGGGCAATGTGAGCCTGAATTAGGTAAGTGTGGAAAGCCAGGGAGGAGAATCATAGAATGCAAAAAAACCCTCACCTGCTAGCAAAGCTTGAGTCTGCAACAACTTGAAGGCTTTCCAAAGACGACCCATCATTTACATGTAGGAACAGGACTTCCTTCTGGGACCGGATTGAACGGATCCATCCCTAAAGAAGAGAAACACTTTCAAACATGAGTTTAAACATGTACACATTTTACATTTTAATTATACATACAAAAAAGACTAAGTGAAAGAAAAAAATGTATTCACAGTCTTGCCTCAATATTTCAACTGCACAAAATGAACTCATAAATTTATCTACATGAATATGTAATTTTACATGGTTCTTATCAATGTGAGATTCACATTTGGGATCCCACCTTTTGTTCTCTTAATGAATCTCATCATTGTGAATGGATGCCAAATCCAGCTGATGAACCTCGCTCACATATATAACCAATCACCACCAACACTGTTTTTTCCAATCCCCATCATTACAAATAACCAAGTTTACAGCTTGTTGCCACTTTTCTTCTATCAAATGCCTATTACCCCCTGCAATCTCTCTCAAAAAATGTCACAACATGAACACAGATGACACATCTTTGGGCAGATCAGTAACACTAAGAGCAGTTCTCTCAGATGTACTCAAATGTCACATAGTAGTTAGAAGAGTAACATTCTTCTAGCAGATGCCAAACAACTATAAAGTATCCCATAAATGTAAAGTTAATGAATACAGACATTCACCATTAAACACATTGGGAAAAGCAGAAAATGATTACACATAGAAAAACGATTGGCTATTATTTCCTGTTTCTGGCCACAATCTTCAGATCCCATTATTACTTGCCCATCTATCACTTATTTACCTCTCCATAATGTATTAAGGGAAAAAACATGCTTGCCTTAAAATACCCCGCCAGGTACACACATGAACATCCCCAGATGCTCATTAGCGAAAGATGTTTACCATTCACTGACCCTGTCCAAGAAGTACTTTGCTACCATTACATGCTGCCTCATTTCTTCTTACAGCGAGTGGAAAGATTATCATACCCACTTACAAACTGGCAAACTGAGGTTCAGAGAAGACAACTTGTTCAGACTTACTGCTGTGAAGTTCAAACTGGAACCCAAGTGTATTTGACTAGAAAGCCCTTGATGTTTTTCCAGATAAAATACAAATTCACACAGCTGCATGTACAAGGCAATTCATCTCTTATGTCCCCCAGGCGCCTGCTCTTTTGGCCATGATCATTTACTACCAATTTATGAAGCACCATTCTCTTATTTTTACTTAGTAAAAGTTAATATTTTTAAAATTTGTTTCTAAATTCTTTATAAATATGCCACTTAATCCTCACAAAACCAAAATGAAGCGGTTATTATTTTTGAAATAAGAACACACTTAGAGGAGTTAAGAAAACAATCACGTCAGTCACCAAGTAATGCAACTGGGATTCAAATACGAGTAGTTATTCCCTCAAAGTCTATGTTCTTATGAACAAGCATTATCCAAAAGTCCTGTCTGCCCCATGGTTAGTTCCTTTGTCTGGGGGACTCTCTGAGGTCACTTCCCGTCTAGCTCCTCATTCTACCTGGGGAATACATCCCTCGGGACTCACTGAAATGTCAACTCGCACTGCTGACCTAGTTATGGAACTCCTGTTGTGCTCTCCCATTGCCCTTTATTTATACAAGCAACAGTAACAGTATTATAGACAAGGGCTATCCAACACAAATGTAATGCAAACCATTTAAGTAATTTTGAAGTTTTTAGTAGCCACATTAAAAGTAAAAATACTTTCTTTAAACCTTTTTTTTTTTTTGTGGAACCAGGGATTGAACTCAGGCCCTTGCCCTTGCCAGGCAAGTGCTTATTCTACTGAGCCATCTCACCGGCCCCTGTTTAAACCATTAAGCCCCAAATACTACCAATATGTAATTACTATAAAAATACATTGATATGAGCAATTAATTGAAAACAAAATGTGTTATTAATAAGCGATATTGAATACCTATCATCTTTTTTAATTTTTTTTTATTTGTGTGTGTGTGGCCAGCTCAGCCCACCAGGGGGCGGGGCTGGCTGGCATGTGGTGCTGAGGGATTGAACTGTGGTCACCTGTGCTTTGCTGAGCTTGTTCTAAGTAGGTGCTTTAGACCACTGAGCCATCTCACCAGCCCCGAATACCTACCATCTTGAGGGTTTTTTTTTTTTTTTGAAATTGTGTATATTTCTAATGTCTTACCTATCATTTTTAAAATTCTTTTACAATATATTGATACTATATTTTGTATTCTTCTTTGTGCTTTAAAATTATTATATGCGTTACACTTACAGGACATCTCAATTCGGACTAGTCAGCTCTCCAGTGTTTAAAGCCACAAGTGGCTGGTAGGTACCCTTTTAAACTGCAAAGCACAGAACCTAAAGCCACATTAGATAACAAGTTCTGTTCTTTTAATCTTTGAATCTGGACTGGCACACAAAAGCTATCATCTATACGATGCCAAAATTAACAGAAAAGATCTTGATTTAGATCATGGAAAGAATATGAAACCCAAGTAAATGCAGAAAAGACGGATCATAATGCTAAACAGCAAGGATGTATGAGGACACCAAAACAACTGCATTATTGTTTTGGCAATTTATTAAGAGTCAAACAACTTTACTTAGTCCTGTAGGGAAAACTATGTGTTACTGGGAGAAACACTACCAGCAAGAGAAATAATGGCAGCGAACATTTATTTACTGTGGGCTATTCTAAATATAGTCATCATCTCATTAAATTTTCAGGACTCTATGAAGTACAGACTATTATCTCTATTTTCATAAAAGACAACTGAGGTTTAGAGCACTCAAATGACATGCCCATAATTGACAAGGCTACTCAGTGGGAGATTTAAACCTAAGCAACTCTCCTGAACTGCACCATTTCATTTTCTCCTAGTTTATAGAACATAAATACCAGGTGAGCCCTATCTTAGGGACTGCGTAGCTAAAAGCTGAATAATTAAGTACTGTGCACTACTTAGCAGCACAGTATTTTACTATCAGCCAGGTGAATGTCAGGTTAGGCAAGATAGTTCCTGCTCCTACAAAGCTAGGGCACGGTCTACTGCATAACTGTTGATATTGTGACAGCCCAAGGTAAAGAGAAGGGGCTTGTTCACTAACATTTTTCTATACATTCAGTTTATGTGTGCTGCAGTGGAATCCTGAAAACCAAGTTGCTGCACTTCATGGTAATCAGAACAGTTTGCAAAAAAAGTAACAGTACCCGACGGAAAGTGTGAACTGTAGCGGTGCCTACATTTCCTAACTTTTCTCTGCTGTCCCTTGTCTGCTCTGAGAGCACAACGTAAAACTAGATGTGCACGTGCCACGTACGTCCGGGGCAGGGGGGACACGCTTTTTCCATTCACCCACCTGGACCTTAACGCGCTCCCCACTCGTGTGCTGGGACCCGAGAGCGTCCCGCACGCTCATCTTGGAAGAAAGCCTGTGCCTCGGGCGGGGCGCAGACGAGCAGGAGCGTAGGGCTCGGAAAAGGCACCGGGCCCCGAGCATTGTCCTCCACGCCGGGCCTCCGTAGGCCCAACCCGGGTCCAAGGGGCTCAAACCCTGCCTGCAAGGGCACTCTGCTCGGCCGCAGCCCGCTCGAAAGGTGCTGTAGGGCTCCCACGTCTGCCCTACAGAACCGCTTCTTTCCCTCTCCCCGAAAGAGCAGAATGGTGACGGCACGCTCTGTGAACGCCAAGGACAAACCGCGCGCCTGGCCAGCCCGCGAGACCCGCTGCAATAAGGGTACGACCACACCCGGAAGCCGGCTGCAAAGGGGCCACGCGGGGCCTCTACGTTCACACGCCAACGTCGCTTACATCATCACGCAAGGAGGAGCCTGAGACAGAGCGTGCGTGTTTGTGTCTCCTGCTAAGGAGGCGGGGCCTAGTGGGCGGGCCGAGGGGCGGGGCCAGGCGCTAGGTAGTTTGTAGGGCTTTTGGCCAGAAGGAGCTAGAGAGCGCCCTTGGGGTGGCTTCTGTAGGTCTTCGTTTCTAAAGCTTCCTGAAGAGGCCGAGGAGCCCTGAGCTGCAAAGGTTGACTGACGCAGAGCGAAAGCGTCCAGACGCTGTCAGTTGTTGCGAGTTCTGAGCACAGAAGAAAATAGGGCCAACTCTCTGATTGAATCCGTTGTGAGGTATCAGCCAGCAATAGACCTTTGGATAAAAGCCGTCTGGTGCCGAGCAGAGAGCCCAAGACAGGATACCAGAGACGGGACTCTAGACAACTGAGGACAGAAGAGCCCTGAATGCGGAGAGAAGTCCTGCGAAGCTGCTGAAGAGACTGGAGGAAGGTCTGGAGGCGCCTGCCCAAGGCTCTCTTTTCCAGCAGTCATCTGCATTTGTTCGACCTAAAGATAGTGACTCTTGTATTGGCTACATTTTAAAACAAAACTTTCTACCTAAGTGTAACTCATGAAAGTGTTTCTAGCTAGTTAAGTAAAAGACGTGAGGGCTAGTTACTTAAAGTTGCCACTGTTACGCTCATTTCACAGATAGAAGACCCAGAAAGGTAATGACCTGCTGAACTTGCTCTAAACCGTTGCGGTATGGTGTCTTGGGTGGAACTTCCATGAAGAGGTCATGGTCTAGTGATGGAGACTGGCAAGAAAAGAAACCAGTGCTGTATAAAGCAGTAAGAGCGCACAACACAGACGGCACGCACCAAGTGAGGAGATAATTAAGATGGGGTATTTTAGGAGGATTACAATATTGTCAGGTGACGCTATAAAGGAATTTCCTACCAAGAAAGGGAGCTGAAAACATTGCCAGGAGGACAAATGGCCCAAAATGAGATGAAAAAATAACTCATGAAAATACTTGGACACTTCTTATATACAGCCTTCAGAATTATGTAGGCACAAACCTCCTATTGTCTCTCTAGTGTGAGAATCTGAAAGAGTAAATAAAACCTGAAAGGCAGGATAGATATTGTGAAACAGAAAGAATCTGTTCAAAGAGGAGGAAAAACTGGGACAAGGAAAAGGAGGGGGGGAAGAGATATGTATGTATGTATGTACGTATGTATGTATGCAGGATGCCTTGATAATTGTGCTTCTAATTTCTGCTGGTCTATAAAGGAAAGCAATTGATGCTTAAATTTCTTTCTGTCCTTTTTAATGTTCTGTCCTCTTTAATTTTTTATAAACTTTTTCCTTTCTTTTTTACTCTTACCAATTTTGCATGCTTATGTCTGGTAATCTGAGCGAGTAAGTTGAGGACGACATTATGCAATATAGCAACCGTTGTCAAATTCCTACTGATTTGTTTGGTGAAGTTCTGTGTCGTTTCTAATTTTTTTTTTTTTTTGCTATTGTATATTCTGTTTAGATAATATTTTTTAAAAAAGAATTATGGGGCCAGCAAGATAACTCAGTGGTCTAAAGCACCTGCTTAGACAAGCTTAGGCAAGTGTGCAGGGACCATGCGTGGTTTGATCCCTGGCACCACGTGCCAAGCCAGCCCTGCCTCTAGGGTGGGCTAAGCTGGCCAATAAATAAATAAATAAAATTATGTAGGTATGGATTGAACTGACACAGTGGAGCGTGCCTGTCATCTCAGCCCTCAGGCTGAGGCAGAAGGATCATAAGCTAAAGCTCAGCTTGAACAATTTAGCAAGACCTTGTCTTAAAATAAAAATAGAAAATGAGAAATGGTCTGGGCATGTAGCCCAGAGCAAAGAGCTTGGGTTCAATCCCCAGCACTCCAAGGGAAGAGAAAAAAAGCACGCTTTTGGTAAGTTGGCTGCAAAGTCAGAGAGCATGCTGTGCTCCTCACAGAGATGTTTGTCTCATCACAAACCTTTTCTTTGACCATGCCAACTCTGTTAAGGGGATTAAAAGTAGCAGCCTATTATCTTACTTCTCCTCAATCCTTTTTCTGTCTTGCTTTCTTTTATGGTTTGGGTCTAAAATGTTCCCCAGAGGCCGTTTGCTAAGTTCTTGGCTGCCAGCTGACAGGTTTTGGGTGAGTGGTGGTTTGCGAGGGCTCTGTCTTCGCCAGGACTAACAAGTGATGCACACATAGCTCAGTGGGTGCATGGGAAGAAGGAAGCTGGGCACAGGGATGAACGCACCCTTGCAGTCCTGGCACTGGGGCGCTCAGGAGGGGGACTGCCGTGATGGGGAGGCCAGCTGGGGCTACAGCATGAATTCAGAGCCAGACTGGACTCCTAGAAAGACCTCATTAAAAAATAAATAAGTAGGAAAAAAGAAGGCGAAGCCTAATTGGATGAAACAGGTCCCAGGGAGCAAGCTTCAGAGGCCGAATTTTACCTCCTGCTGCTTCCGCTCTCTGCTATCCTCCCTTTCTCTCTCTCCCCAGCCCTGGCTACTCTGAGCTGAGCAACCTCATCCCCTGCTCACCTTTACTGCCTCAGCTCAGGGCCCAAAGACTGCAGTGGTGAATCATGGACCAAAACCTCTAAAAGTATGAGCGCAAACCAGCCTTCCTTCCTTCCTTTTCTTCTCGGGTGTCTTGCCACAGTGACCCAAAGCTTGCCCGCTTTTCCTCTCGCTCTCCACTACTGCACCAGATGGTATGCTTTTGAAGAACTGGCATCTGAGTCTCAGAAGGAGGGATCCTGACTTCCTTTGCCCACTGCTTATTTTCTAAGCAGTGGGCCACGACCTAGTATTCCAATAAAAGGAACCAGTGTTTGAAGCTGAAAATTAGTAGCCGTTCATGTAGACTGTATCTTGGAAGTTGCTTAAAGCATTCATCTTGGTGCCGAGTTCAAACCACCCAGTGTATCTTATATGGAATTGTACAGCTTTGCTTTCAATTTTAAAATCATTCTTCCTCTTTTAGATTTATTACCTTCCAGACAGTACAGAGAATGATGTTTCTAAAATGGATATTTACCACAAATGCCAATGTGTACCGGGAACCATTCATGGATTAACTTATTTGATCATCTATGCATATTTTTTTTTTGTTTTTTGATACCAGCATTTGAACTCAGGATCTTTCACTTGCCAGGCAGGTGCTGTGCCACTGAGCTAGTAACCATTGTCATATCCCTGTGGTGTAGAATAGCAGTGCTGTCCTCAGGATTGGGAGGATTTTAAGCAAGGGAGTTTTTATCGCCTGGGCTAAGTTAGACTGGCAGTCTGGTTCCAGACGCTGTATGTGATGGAGACCACCATGAAGTGGCTTTGAGGAGTTAAAATTAATCACTTAGCTTTCCACATTTACTTGTGAGTCTGTCCAAGGCCTAGGCCCCTTGTCTGGGGGGGGGGGAGTGGACTCACTCCAAGTGAACCTGTAGGAGTCACTGGTCCCTGCTGAGGCCTCTAGTGGCCCGTGAGGCCATGACCCCTCAAAGGACAAGATAAGGCCACAGCTGAGGACACTTGGCTCCAACCCCAGTAAGCTCCATGGAGACTACCGCTGCAGGTGCCTCACTCCTGGGGTGATCATCAACCTGGAGATAGGACGGTTTTTCTAGTTAGCGTAATTTACTCCTTGGGGAGGTCTTTGCCTTGGCCCCACAAAGGTCCTGCTCAGTTCCTGCGCTTTCCTCGGTATCCTCTTCCCTGGCCTCCCAGAGAAGTTCTTTGTCTCAGCCCCCAAAGAATCTCAAATTCTGCTAGAGGGTTTTGATCCTCCTGGAGCCCTAAAATCACACCACATGTCTCTTTTAAACCATTGCCATCCACTTGTTTGGGAGATTGCTGGCCTGATCAGTTCACGATATATACCAGTATTCATCTTTAAGCAAGTCTTTAATTTCTCTCCTTGTAATACAAAGAAGACTTGCACTCTTTAGCATGCCTAGTGGGCCCTCTCTGACCTAGGGAGCTCCCAGAAGTGCCCTGGAGCAAAGATCAGAAGTGAGGAACAGAAGGGAATAACAAAAAGGTGCCATCCTTGTATGACAGGTCTGCATAGCAAACCGTGTCTGCGTCACCCATCAGCTCTCAAAGGTTAAAGTCAGCCTCTGCATGACAGGTTTAGCCCATCTCACTCCAGAAATTCCTTGTCATTTTCTCAAGTAAATATTTTTATTTTTATGTTTATAATTTTGTGTTCCTTTATCTTTTTTTTCCTTCCTTCCTTCCTTCCTTCCTTCCTTCCTCTTTCCTTCCTTCCCTCTCTGCTTTGTGGTACTAGGGATCAAATCCTGGGCCTCAGACATTCAAAGCTATTTGCTCAGCACTGTTTTTATTTTTCTTTTTTCTCAGAAAGGATTCCTCAAATTAAGAAGTCTCAGGTCTCATGGAACTGGATTTGCTTTTGATAACAAGAATGTTGCAGCAAATATATTGAAAATATTTGAACTAACAGTTTATTTATTTTTTAAAATTTATTTATTTGTGTGTGTGTGTGCATGGCCAGCTCAGCCCACCAGGGGGCGGGGCTGGCTGGCATGTGGTGCTGGGGGATCGAACCACGGTCCCTGTGCTTAGCTAAGCTTGTTCTAAGTAGGTGCTTTAGACCACTGCGCCATCTCACCAGCCCCTATATTGAAAATATTTGAAAAAATTGCTCTGGGCCATAAGCTTTAGCTGTGCTAGATGCTGCCAAGTTGCTCTCTGAATGGATGATTCCAACTGAATGCCATCCAACAAGCTTATGAAAGTTCCCAAACTTCCACACCTTCAGTGACAATTCATGTCACCAGTCTTCCTAATTTTTGCCAATGATAGGTAAGAGAAAATATCTCAGTGTTTCAGAGATTTATGTTTTGATATTCTTCTTTTATTTCTCATCAAAATTGAGTACTCTTCTGACCTTTGGTAATTATTTTCTTAATTCATTTTATACTTTGACAACTTAAATATGTAGCCTAGAT